TGTGTGTGTGTGTGTGTATGTGTGTGTGTGAGTGTGTGTGTGTGTTTGTATGTGTGTATGTATTTTTGCAAATCAGACAAAAATGAAGCGGGCAAATCCGTCAACCAAGAAATTAAATTGGTGTGGCCTAACCAGGGCCCAAAATACTGGGTACATGTCCAATTTAGTGCAGGTACAAAATGTATTTCTGATGTCTGCCTGCACCTAACCTGCATCGGTCCATTGAAAAATGTGTATGCATGTACTGGGTTTTTATACAAGTACACGTATGTGTGTGGATTTGCTGCATTGACTGTTATACCACCAGTCCTACAATTTGAAAGTATAAAGGAAATACTAAATGCCTTAAGCACCTCTTACCTGCACCTCTGCAGGTATGTATACAGAGAAAAGTATTTCAAACCCTGTTATCAGTGAAACATCTTCATGGACCCATAGACAAAAATTAGTCTTAGAAATTTTACCATCTTATTCATCAGAAATTTTGATTTCACTAATTAACTGTGAGGACATATTTTGGTCTTAAGGTGTGACTTTATTACACACAACATTGACCATTAATTGTAACTGTGTGTGAAGTCTAACGTTAAATTGTACCATTAAAGGCATCCAAAAGCAATTTTAAGGCAGCAAAACTGCCAATTAAAGTCAACTTTCTGATCATTCTTTTAATATTACCAATGAATCGAATCTATCCCAAAGCATGCTGATGCGGTCACTGACTTAAAACAGTTGCTTGTCTTGTTATTTATGGGTGGTACCCCAAAATAAAGAGACGTCTAGCATAGATTGTGTAGGGGCTATTTTCAATGCTTCAGGTATGAAATGATGACAAAAATGTGCTAAGAAAGGACAGTAAATGTCAATTTTGGACAGATTTCCTCATCCAGAATAACTTAAAGTTTTAAAAAAATTGGTTTTGCTGCCCAGAAATTGCACTGGATGCCTTTCACCTATGACTCACCTGAAGGTGAGTAAGATCTGAGCATGTTCCAGGGTTTACAGTGACAGACAGAGTCACAGACACTGCAACCGTGCTGTTCTCTATGTCGTCTTTGAAGGGGTGGACGAGACCAGGTGAAACAGTTCCCTCTACCCAGTTAGAATCGATAGACGCCCAGTCATCCACCACTACTCCGTTTGTTCCTAATGAGATTGAAGAGAACAAAATTGTTGAATGCATCTTACATATATATTGGTGTTCTAGCCTGTAACTCAGCAATGAATAGCTTGTGTTTGTGTGTGTGTGTGTGTATGTGTGTGTGTGAGTGTGTGTGTGTGTTTGTATGTGTGTATGTGTGTGTGTGTGTGTGTGTGTGTGTGTGTGTGTGTGTGTGTGTGAGTTGGTATATGCCTGTGTATAGGTATGTGTTAGTGGATAGTGTTCAGCACCAAGGACAGGGATGGTTTTATAAGATAAGATAAGGACCTACCCATTCTCTTCAGTGGACTTGGCCTAACATTGCACATTTCAAGCATGGGATACACCACTCTGTCTAGCCAGTGTCTGTCTTTGATTTGATTTATTAGGCTGTATAAAATGATACAGCCAGGACTGCACAGCTAGCCCCAGGCTATTTGAAAGAGCTACCCAGCGTCCTAATCCTTCAACATCTTTGTCGGACAATTTTAAATCAGGGTGTAAAGAGATAGAGAGAGATGTTATTCAACTAAACTTAGTCTGCCAGCAACATTTGCAGGATACCAAGAACACATGGCAGGCCTTAAAATAATAATTCTACACTGCACTACACTGCACATTCAACTGGCCTTTCAAAAGTGAACATTTCTAATACACTTACCTCTGATGTCAAGAACAAATGTATCTTGAGGTGTACTGGCTGAGATGTCACACGATGGTCTTGCACACGCCACGCGGAAGTCTACTGTCAGGGTTGTCTCCACACCTTCCCACAACATGGAGGGTCCAGACACAGACAGGCCTGTCACGGAGAACACATCTACAAGGGAAAGAGCAGATTGTTAGTGCCATTATCAGAAAATGATAACATCACACATCCCAAGCTTAGGCCACACCAATTAAATTTGTTGGTTCATGACACACAGTTGGAAGCATTCAGTTGGCATGGCCGAACAGTGACTGACCTGGCCAATCACCAGCCAACCTTGGCTAGTGTTAGCCTTCATAGCAGGCTTATAGAACTGGGGTTTGGTGGTCTTCGGCTGCTTTCTGATTATCTAAAAACGGGGGTTACTCAACCAGGCCGGCTATGTTGTCTATATGCAATTAGATTTAAAAAATAGTACATAAAAGCTCCCAAAGACCTTGAAGACCCCCCCCCCCCCAGTTTTTGGCCTGAAATGGAAGCTAGGCTAGTGTTCTGGAGGCCATATTGAATTTCACGAATGAGTGACAGGAGCTTTTTAGTAACTTCACTATTTGCATAGCATTTAATGTTACCATAATAAGTTCCATTGTACTTTAACCATCATACCTGATGAGCTACACTGAATCAGCACAGGGATGGCTGCTATGTTGTCAGCTCTGTCTGGATCCGTCAGGGAGTTCTCAGAGTCAGCGACCAGGATGGCGTACACGCTGCCGCAGAACTTTGGGTCAGACGGTACGGCGATGGTCCCCGTCCGCTCGATGGTGTGAGTCACGGGCCCCTCCCCGCTCGGTACATGGTAGCCATTCACCACCAGGGCAACGCCTGAGTCAATCTTGTAGGCGTCTGTTTCCTGCAAAACAAAGCCACCAGGGAGAGTTAAAGTTAAAGAGACAGTTTTCCATCAGTGAGATCACATTTTTGCCTCACAGATATCAGAATCTGATGGTATGATATAGGATTGATTCAACTTACTGAAAGAATGACCAGAAAATTGTCTTTAAAAATCTATTCATGGCTCCAGCTATCATAACATGTGATGCCTTTAGTAAAATGGGATTTTTTGCTATTTTCAGACAAAAAGGTACATTTTTGACTAATGAACTTAGAGGTATTGAAGCTCCTGATACTGGATGGAAAAGGTTGATATACATGTAAGACAGTCCATTTTTGAAGGGGAGGGAGATGGACTGAAAATTCCTCACCTGGCTCATGGCCCAGTACAGGGTTGCGGTGTACGATGGATTGACTTCCTCCACGTTGACCTGCTGTGCACTGGAGCCCACAGTCACGTCAACCTCTGCATTGATGTCCACCTGAACATCATGAGCCAGGAACACCACAGGATCCACACTGAAGGATCTCACCACTGCAGCTTGGTATTCTGCAAAGGAATGGGAAATTAGTCAAGGCAACATTATAATTATATGTATAATGCTCACTGTACACAGACATGTGCAAATCTTTTATTAGTTCCCTACGATAAACATAGTAATATGCGCACTTAACAAAGGGATATTATTTCATGTAGGAACTTTTATCATCAAAAAAGTAGTAAATTTGTCTATGTATGTTTAAAAAAGTCAGAGAGGAGACCTTGTAGATTCATGTAGAATAATCTCGGGTGAATCAGAATTCTTTCACCTACCCTTATACTCTAATTATCTACACAATTTAGTAACTCAACACTTGCACTTGGCCCATGTATAGGGCGTGAATATGCAATGAAGTTTACTGTCATTGTTATTATATTGTCATTGTCATTATAGAAGCAAATGTCATTGACTATTGTACATAATTTGAGGGAGATTTGAAATTCTGAGAAACCATGTAGGAGCAGTATAGGGGATGTAGAATTACTGCTGGTTCCTGTGTTGCTGTCAATCAGTCCGGTTTGATTGGCGACAGCAAAGTCGTTCCCGACGTCATCTAATGTCCCGACCGGCGGCACCACCTTCACCATGAAGTACTCCTTCCCAACGGCTTGATTTCCCGGGAGACGAACTCTGACCTGTACCCCCTTCAACGACCTGCTGCTCCCTGGTTGTAGAGGGAGGAAGGCCTCAGGAGGGTACCACAGCACTGCGGTGGAGATCTAGTGGTGACAAAAAAAAGTTTCCAATTAAAACACAAAGGGGTGAGTTGTACAGCCTCCATATTATGCTATGGTGACTTTCCTCTTCTCATTCACCATGGTGTCTGAAAGTTTTTCTTTATTGTGCAATAGAAACAACACTGGCTGTCAAGGAGGTCATGTAACGAAAAAAACACACTGACAACTGTGAGCACTACCAGATGTGATTAATTACTTTCTCCCTAGCTCTGGTACAGACTGCACCCAACCATATCCATTACAACCTGACCTAAGGGACATGCAGAAACACACACACACACACACACACACACAGACAAACCAGAAACAATACCTCCATTTTTCATGCATGTAATTTTCCTATGCCACCATACACTGTGCGGCTGTGGACTGCTTTATTTTTCATATATCACGATCATGATGTTTGTACCTTGACCAGTGAGTCTGTTGGTTCTGCCCCTTCGTTGACGTACACTTCTAGCTGGAAGTTGTCCTGTCCGGCTGGAAATGGCTCCATGTTGAAGTTGTGCACGGTGACGTCAACGGTCAGGACGATGTCGGTGTCCACGTGCAGACGGCGATTGGGACCGAGGGACACGCTGGCCTTGGACAGTCCAGCGTAATCTGAACATACACACAGCAATACAGAACCATCCAAATTTTAGTTCAGTTACTTAATTAGGAGCAGCCTCAGCTTATCACTTCTAAAAAAATTATTCACGCCCACAATCAACTTTCTATTCACTACCGTACATAACAATTATTACCTTGCAAGTTGCAAGTTGCAAACATTATTCATACTTCAGGATAGAGATTTTTACTGCAGTAATATCTTACCAGATATTAATGCTAGAAATTACATATAATTCTATCAAGTATACAATATAGTTCTAGAAGTAACTAGTATTCTTGTGTTTTCATATATAACGTTATATTATATTCAATATAGCAACTTGAATCTTTTACCATGACTCCAATGGGTAACATTATGCTGCAAAATAGTGAAAATTGGCCAAAGGAAGTGAATAATGTGCTAGACAGGTTACTAGTATTAGCTTGCCAAGGCACACACTCCCTTGCCTGGCTAATTCCTCTTGTACATTATTGACCAGCATTGGAGCCGTGCCTCATTCTATTTTAATTATAGATGGTTTTAAAAACCATAATTGCCTTGAGAATGTCTCACCTCCTTCACAGATGATCTTGACTGGTTGAGAATGCTCTTCATCAAGGACAAGGTCAGCAGCTGGAGATGAAAAACAAAATGTTTTCAGTTTTAAATTAATGACACCTCTAATCAATGGATACGTATTGTTTTCTCTTTACCGTGTTGCCATCATCAGGGGATACTGAACTTAAAGGCATCCAATGAATGGCAGCAATACAAACGATACCCTAAAAATCAGCCAAGGGTCCTAATCCACTAACCATTTTCTGCCAGAGTTTAAAGAATTTTTGCGACATGAGATAAATAACTAGAACATTGGCTTTGAAAAATCAGGATTCCAAGTCCTAAAAACTGCACTGGATGCCTAAAATGTAATATTCTTAAACGGTATCAAACTACAGCCTTAGGATCTAAAGCAAGGCTTACTGATGTTGTGTATGTGGACAATAAGGCGAGCATGGTCAGACTGTCCACACAGCCCATCCCTCTCCTGCTGTGTCCAGTCCCCAGACTCCACCAGCACGTCCGGCTGACTCAGGTCCACCAGCCAGTCATTCAGGAGCTCAGGCGTCTGCTCTTGACTCATCTGAAAGAAAATGCAAAGGAACAAGCTGTATATCAGATGCAGCTGTTTTGCACCCCTGACCGGACTCCTTTTTCCGCCTTCCGGACTGGACTGCATTTTCCACACACCCTTCAACAAAATGTGACAAGATAACTAATGATCTGACTAGATAATGGGGCTTGTCCTCACAAATATGCTCATTATAGATAGCATGCGCACTTGGCACATGCAAGAAGTATTGGTTGTGGTGGGAACCAACATTCGCTCCTTTCAACGTTAAACTAATTAAAGGATAATCAACAAATAGAACATCACTTTACCTCAGACGTCGCTGCTCGACTTGGGGAAGACTCAGTGCCATTTGGATCCCTACCCTTTGTGAGGTCTAATTCACACCACATATCCTACTCGTAACCGTACACACACAGTCATTCTCCCCTGTCCCCCTACACAACGTAACCCAGGCAGTCGTTTAAAAGTAGCTGTCGCTACAACAATCAGGCACGAGCAAAACTCTGTCCAGAGTTTCTGACTGATGCAAATTAAGAACGGCTGCCTGCTGTGTCGTAGCGACGTCTATCGGACAAAGCGTAAATTGCAGCTCCCTACTTCGGCGCTGCACGGCGGGTAACACTAGCCTGGTATCCAGCCGGATCTTGGGAAGCGGACTAAAGCTAACAAGGCTGGATACCAGGCTAGGGTAACACCCACACCTTCCATTTTGAGCATAAACAACTACTAGTAGCTGAAAGGGAACAATGTGTGTCTGTAGCTTGTAATTTTTGTGTGCATGAGAGATATTAATTTTAGAATGGCTGTGTTCGGAGTATATTGTTATTTCCTTGGGCTGGGGGCATGTTTAATAGCCCTGGAGCCGAGGAACTGGCATGTGTAGGCTTGAAAGCAACCTGGCACCCAGGCTACCTTGAGGTCTCATTCAGACTATTTGTAAGCAAGCTTCACTCACCAAGAGTCTGTCGCTGGAGGGGTCCAAATCCGAGTCCGTGGAAAGGTACAGATCTATGCCATAACTCCCGGCCTGGATTGTGTCCCCGCCTGCCTTCACCAGTAGTTCCACACGGTTGTACTCCCCATCTTTCAACACGTCTCCGTCCAGGTGTTTGACCGTGAGTAGCTGGCCTGTGAAAACGAGAAATTAGGAATGATTGACATGATTCTTGCTTGATTTTCGAAAGGAGAGAAGAAACTGAAAAAGTGGGTGCATCTATTTGTAGTAGTGGGTGAAGGAATAAATGAATCAATCAATGAATCAATGAATCAATAAATGAATGAAGAGCTTTAGTGCACATTTTTGCCCCACTGTGCTAAGCACATGTACAGGCCACAAGATTACCATCATATACATGTACGTATGTATGTATGTATTTAATACATACATATATACATATAACTGTTACATGTATATATAAACGTCAAATGCATATGTGTATTCTAGTCTTTTCAACTTCCTCTCGCTAAATTATGAGGCTGTAAGAAAAGATAGACTTGGTTTATCAAAGGCTGACAGGAATATAATTTTTTCGTAACTTTTCAAGTATCTGAAGAGGGGAAATTTTCTTAAAACATGACCGAAAAGTATGCGTAATTCACCTGTCGCGTTGCCGAGTCCCACAGTAAGCAGTATGAGGGCTGCTAGTAGATCCAGCCCGTCCTTCAACTTGACGCGAGTCATCCTGAAATTGAATAAAAATATGAAAAAATAGAAAGTTCAATATGATATAAAACATCAGAATTCGTGCAAAAAAACTACTTTCGACTGGTGCTTACTTTTCAGTGTAATGTCAAGTAAATTTATGCATGTGTATTTGTCAGTTGTCTAGTTGTGTTCTTTATCCCCAGAATGGGAGACTGTAAACTGAATACTGTATGTACATCGAGGAGCATTTGCATGGCCTCAAAATAAACTAGTACCGAAGCTAGGTACTCATTTTAACCTGAGTCAAGTAAGGAAATAATGGATTCGAACCCAGTACTTTTGGAATCTGAGTCAACAACCGCAACCCTAACCACAAGATTACTCGTATAGATAAAGTTAGGCAAGTTTATGTTCATACCAAGGATACACACCTGTGTGTACGTATTTCGTGTAAAAACCACTCCACTTAATATACAGCCTTTCGTTTGCCACACATGTCGCGATGCAATAACAATGGACAGCCTTCAAAGCTATTGTAAAAGGCTGACTTCTAGTCTCATTAGTCGTTTCATCAGTTGACTAGCCTTTTAGGCATGTCTGACACAAAAGGACAAGAGTTTTCAACAATAGCAAACTGAATTATAGATGAGTTGCGGGCGAACACTCATCATGGTAATGGCGAGAGGTAATTTGATGGGGACTGTCATTAGCTGTGATGCGGAAAATTATCATACAAATGCTACAAAAGATGTTGAAATATTGCCGTGTTAATTGCAGCAAAGCACGAAATGTTTTAGCACTCCAGGACATGGTCATAGAATATAGAACATCTCTCGGAAGAACTGAGGGCAATGTCCAATTTCTTAATAATAATGTGTGAAAAATTTGTGCAAAAATAATTTGTGCAAAAACATCAGCGCGCGGTGCTTCAAGATAGTATCTGGAGCATCGACGAAATTATTGTATTCATCATAACTATAAGTTACCATATTTTCATCCTTTTTAAATTGTAGGCCGGGGCACGTACAGCCGTATATACTCTCTACATAGCTTTGACACAACTTGCAATAAGCTATGGAAGTCTTCCAAGACTGCCTCAAAAGCTCAGCCACCGTCGACTTAAGTTTGCTGGGCACTGCTTTCCGAGCCAGGCAAGAAACAGTTTGATCTGTACTCGTGTGGAAACCTAGCGGCCGAGTGCACTGCAGGAGTTTGACTTTTTTACTGGAACTTTAGATAGAGAGACTGGTGTTGAATATGATAACTTGGGGCTATGTTAAGGAAAATCTATACTAGCTTGGTCAGGGTTGTTAAAGGCCGATAAATGCTGATAATAGCTGCATAACTGTCAAAACGTTATAAAACACTGTGTTCAAATGTCCACATGTTGACTATCAACTGAGAGGCATCAACAGGTGGCTGCATAAAAAAAACATCGAGAAAAAGTTCACCCCTCGGGGACAAAATGACAAATTACTTTCAACGTTCGCTTCTATTGAATGTGGTGGAAGAGAGACAATATTAAAGAGCAAGTTGAAGGCGGTCTTTAACAGGAAAAAACGCATTTTGTCCTTCATCTGTGTTTTTAGAAGTCACTATGAAGCAAGTTCAAACTTTCTTGTTGTTGTTGCTGTTTTTTAACGATTTGTGCAAAAACATCGCAGTCCGGTGCCTCAAGATAGTATCTGGAGCATCGACGAAATTATTGTATTCATATTAACTGCAAATAAACAGACAGTTCCTCTAAGATAGTTTGTAGGTGTGTCTTACCCATGGAGACAAAATTAACTTATAATCCAGCGAGCTCCCAATTCGCCTATCTGGCACATACCAACACATTACACGAGTACTGTTAGGCGCAAGATATCTGTATCTGTATAGCCGGTATAACCGCCCTTCGGCATAACACACCAGCTTTGCAGGCACGCGGCGCGGCGGCAGCTAGTTATACCACACCGAATGACTTGCTACACACCTAACCCAAGTTTTCACATCTAACTCTAAACATTGTTTAAAGCTATCTATAGTGATGATGCCCCCACTGTACTTGAAGGCAGCGAGTTCCACTCTGCGACAGTTCGGGGGGGGGATGAACTGATGTCGAAAAACGTGTCATGTTGGTAAAGTAAAAAGAGCCACATGAACGACAAAAAAGACATCACCACCAGACGAACACTGGAGTCATGCCCCTGAAACAATGACTCCAGTAACCTTGGAACACCTGTTCTTTCTCGTGATGATAGAGACCCGCTCATGTCCTGTATCTGAATATTTCATGAGACCATAATGCGAACATAATCCCCATAATAACCCACCATATGCTGCAAGATGAAACAACACACACCTGTTAGGCCACAGACTCCAGATCTAATGCGATAGGGCGAAAAAACAAGGCGGGCAAAAAACCCTTTATTTTCAAATATTGAGGTCATAAGCCTTGTTAAACAAGAATTGAGGTGACAAAACATGACATCATGACCAAACAAACGTTTTGTTCTTCTATCCAACAGTATTACTTGTCCTTGCAGATGTGTAAAGACCTCACTTAACTAGAAATTATAGCAAAACGGCTCGTCGTACCATCTTGGGCAGCTACTATACTGGGTTGGATTGGATGCGATGCCGATGGAACCGTGTCAGTGTCAGCATTTGGCAGTTGGCAATATTTCACCGAGCAACTTGTTACACCTAGCCTTAACCGTCAGCGTTGTTTTTGGAATGTTTAAGGATGATGCTCCCACTGTACTTGGTAGCAACGGACTCAATATACCATGTACATTGTACAACACCATGTCCCTGAGTTCGAATAAACTTTGCGCTGTTGGGGCATGAAGAAAATACGGGCGTGTTTTATGCATTTTGTCGATCAAACATCTGGGAGACAACAGCCCAGAAAAACACAAAACAAACAGCTTTTACTTACTCTCCAAGCAGAGGTTTAGGCTTTGGCTTATTTTTTGCGTGTTTTGGCTTTTTTATCGGGATTTCTTTTGCGCAGTTGTACCGTTTTTGTTGGGCTGGCACAAAAAAAGATACCGGTACAGCAAAAGAAAGCCCGATAAAAAAAAGTCTAAAAATACGCCAAAAGCAAGCCAAAGCCTAAACCTCTGCTTGGAGAGTAGAATTTAGTAATTCGTCGTGGTAAAATCTTCATCATGTAAGTCAACGGTGGACACTGTCCAATCTATCATCATTTTCTCAACTTTTCAATGGGAAAGGAATAAAAAGAAGAATGTGTACTCAATATCGCACCTACCTCAGAGAGGCTGATCGCAATCTAACCACCTCTTAGTCAGCTCTTCTTCTTATCTTCTCCGTCTTTTCCTGCAATTTCTTCAGAAGAGAGGCTGTGAAGAAGCGCGCGTGTGCCGCTCCCAAGCCCGGTCTCTGTCAAAGGGAGCTCTGGTATGTGGAGAAGTCGCATAGCAACTAGGCTCTCATTGTTTTCTTCTGGACATGTGACCACCCTATGCCATGGTTTTAAATGCGCCGCTTTCGACTCTACTCCGCTGCTGACGTCACCTTCATTGTGAAGGATCATGTGTGGGGTCGTGTGGCGTAGCGGCAGAATGCTCGACTCGGAACCAGGAGGTCCCGGGTTCGAGTCCCGACATGCCACCGATCTTGTGCCCCTGGGAAAGGCACTTTACACGACGTTCCTCACTTAACTCAAGTGAGAATGAGTATTGTCCTGTCCTGTATTTGTACTCTGTGTTGGTGGCGGCATAAAATAAGTTGATATAACTTGAGTGTGCCGTCGCCATGTTTGGTCATGAAATGTTGGAATAAAAAAAGGATCATGTGATGGTAAGACCCTGTCACACATACACGGATTTGTCCTCCCGAACTCTAACCGAACTCCTCCCAACCATGGTTTTGGTTGGCGTCTTTTTAAAAATGTTTCAAACATTCGGGGTTGGTCGGGAGTTTCAGAACAACAGCCAACCAATTCTTGAATACGTCAGCAGTGTTAGGGGTCAAATTTGACTCGAATTTGACTCAAATCCGTTTCGATTCGTACCTATAGAATGGTAGGCGTGGCCTAAATCTAGATAGAGTGACATATACAAAACATCACATATACAAAACCAGTATTACCAGTATAAAAGGAACGAAATTCTTCACTGCATCAAAGTAAAAGACAAAGCAGTAAATGAGCCATGTCTTTTATCCTCTCTTCATATTTGTCTGCCATCCACGTTCCGGCATGGTAACAGACACATTTGCCCATTTTCAGCATTTTGACGACTGTCAAAGGGCAACAAAATTGCTTGTTTTTTTTCTCTTCAAAATCAGGCGAAAATTCATGCGCGCGCTGATGTCACCCATACAAATTACTTGCTATGACCTACCGTTATGTGTCCTATATGCTCACTGTCCATTTGTAACTGTGACACTGTGTCTGGGACAGTTGACGCCTCCTTTTTCTTGTCAATCAAAAATCATTCCACTTCGGTGGTCAGATAACTCTAGATCTGAATTATCCATTCAAAAGATATCACATTTTCGACAAATTTGACAATTACGCTTTTCCAATTTTTTATACCGTAGTCATATATTTAGTTTCAGATTTTTTTCAGTCAAATCGACTACATTGTACACACATGTATACACTATGTTAGTGGTAGGTCATATATGGGAATGCAAAGGTCAAAGTTGATTTGGGGCCGCCTGTGGACTTTCCTTTGTACTGCAGCAAAACTTCCGCGTTTTGTATTCTTTGTCCTGGACATGCTGTGGTATTAATTTTTGGGTAGTACTGTAGATAGCTTTCTTAGACAAGTGCCAATGGTTTGGTTACCCTGGCAGCTTGTTCAAGAACTGCAGGGTCTTTTTTGTAAGAGTCACAGAGCGGAGTAGTGAAGGGCTGTTATATATTGTTGTAGGCTTAAGTTTCTCTCAAAACATTTCCTACCCTGAGAGCCAGACGAGATATCGGTCCGTTAACCGGTTCCCGTCGGCGGCCAAGAGCACTACGCCCGCCTATCTAAATTACCGCTACGGTAGAGTTGAGCCCGAGGGGAGTTGGCCGGCCTGGGTAACCATTTCCTCATAAGTGCATCCATATAGGGCAACAATATACGAAAATACATACCACTGCTATTAGGTCATTTCATCAGATCATACCTTTGGTACTGTAATATTTCCCAAGGGTGCCAACTATTGTTGAGAAGAGTTTCTGTGCATGAATTTTTAATCGGACAGGTTGTGTGGGGAAAGTAGTCAACAGGTCTAACAGATGCGCCGCACCTGTTACAAGTAGCCGAATATGGCTAATCTCCAAGCAGATCATACGGTGGCAGTATCCAGTGGCCAGAGGAGTGTACATTAGCCACTGGCCAATCATCCGCCGCCAATGAATACTGTCTGACAATACGATATTCATGTTTCTGTTGTCGACCTCTGAACCACATGCTATCAATGTATCATGCATGCTTGTCAGAAGTTGTCTTTTCAACAGCCCCACCCACGTACCCGTTTCACTTGATCACAGACAACTGCTAGATTAGTCTGTTATTTTGTCTTGAAAGTTATTTTGTGTTGGTAGAAGTCTAATATATGAAACAGGTTTTTACTTTTTTTTTCAAATGAAGACCATTATTTTACACACATACTCGCTGGGTTAAGTACATGTCACAACAAAAGAATAGTATACAGATAACGTGACATATAAAGTGTATTTCGCATTCCACATGTAGATTTTGCACTACAATTGGACATGTTCATACAAGTTCTTTCACGTACAGGTTAACTTCTATACAGACTTTGTTCTATTAACAGAGGATGGGCACTAACTCTAATAATAAAGTAATATTGCTAATGGCTGAGTGTAGTCGAAAATCTGTAAGATCAATATACCGCTCTATGTTGTACATGGTTTTATATTTTGCGTAAAATCTCAACTTACCGCTATCGGTTAACGAAGTATGAAAAATTCTCCTTTTCTTGTTTATTGTTTATCATTTCGGCTTACAACCGCCAGGGTTACCCAACTAATAAAAGACTATTATTATTTATTAATAAGGGTCTAACCTGGGAGAAAATAAAATCGTTAGGTATACATTCAAATACAATTAATAAGATACACAATGAAATTTACAGCAATATATAGTATACATTGGATCATACCTTACATACAAATTATCAGAAGTACATTATACAATATTCGGATTACTAACATTGGTTTCCTAGTACATTTGTACTACATAGTTACCGAGGTAGTGAAATTTATATACAAAATTTACCGTATTGTCACACACATGATAAGTATTGTTTATTGTTACAAAGACTTCCATTGCCATTGGTGATAGTACATATATAAACATACATGACTTCACTACTCTTCCTAGAGTCTTAAGTAACAAAAAATACATACATGTAACATACACATAAATCAAAAATCATGATATACACATCACATTAAATTGTGTTATACAGAGTGTGGAAAAATTTCTTTGAATATCTATATACATATCTGTAAGATTTCTTTTTAGTATCCGGGAAAAAGTGATGACCCAGTTAGACAACTCACCCAGACGATATAATTGCCTGAGGATAAAAGTGATAGTCCGATCTGTACTCGACTGACCGGTTTAAATCTAGACAATCCTTGTCAGAATCCAACACTTCACATGCGTTATAAAAGACAGACAAGCAATCAAGCGTCACATTCGGTTGTCCAGCATTCACCACGAACGGGTAAGAATTTTAACTTTTCATTTCTATACGCCGTAGCCAGAGAGATTTTGATACACATGCTGGTATTCTGTCGAATTTTCTCTCCCAATATTCTTATTGGTATTTGAGTGATGGTCACTTATAAATAAGTATCCGTAAGTTAGTGGACCAGTTAGATATTGGACAAAGACGTCCCTGCAAAATATGTTACTTCACACAGTAGGCCCCTGTTTTTTTCGCTAGGCTGAGCTTTTGCTAAAATTCACAATGCCTCTGTCAAGAAGTCGTAGGTCTTACTTTGGAGGTGTCCAAAATAAGAGGAAGCGATTCAAATACGAGTATATACGCGCTCCTTGGTCGGCTGGTTTTCGGGGAAAGGTTCTGAATGTGTGACAGGGGCTTCAGCCAACCTTGGTCGGCTGGTGTTCGGGGGAAGGTTCTGAATGTGTGACAGGAGCTTAACGCTTGAACTGTTCACATCGATTAGTTTTTGAAATGTTTTGATTGTAACATGTTTATTCACATTCAGTCTCATAGGACGTGCTTGTGAAAAGGCATCATGGAAAAGATCATCAAGAATGACTTCACTTACGGTGAACATGATGACCACTTCTTCAACCAGGGATTCAACGCGTACTTCAGACCAGATATCCAGCAGGTTAGTCATAATGACTGATTAAATGGATGAATACATGTACCTTTATTGTACACACATATGTATCATTTTCATCTGTCATTAAAGTCAAGTTTATGGCACAACAATGGCATTGGATACAATGTATGGCAAATAATACTAGTACTAAATAACTATAAACTATTTCTACTAGTGAATAATCTCACTTCAATACATGTATATATGTTATAATGTAATATTACATTTCACATTGCTGTGACATGGTTTATCTTTTGTATAGCATTATGCACATATTGACCTAGATAGACACATACAGGGTCGGGGCATGATAAAAGCATGCTGAATATTTGACCGCTCTGGGCAAATGCATGTTTTATGTGATCTTATAAATAGGAAAGTGTGTAATCCCCATAAACGCAACACACAGCAATGTAAAAGCTATCTCCCTGAACGCATTTTAATGAGTATTGTAGCTGTCCTCATTGTACATTGTCCAGATACAGTACAGGGCTATCATTTAAAATAGCCTCCGGCTAGTTGGACAGTCCTGGCTGTATCATCAGCCACTCAGAGACTGTGTCCCACATGTTATGACAATATTGAAGATGAATTTCACTTTGTTATGACTTGTCCTACTTATAAAGAGGGAGAGATACACTGTTACAGACTATTACTAGAAAGACAAAGTTCACTACCTAGTACACAGATTTACTTATATTGTAGTCGTGTCCAACTTCCATATCAGCCTACATAGGTCAATTTCTGTATACCTCATTCTATAAGGGATCAATCATCAATACATGATCATATTGTAACTCATATATTGTTATCAATAGTAATTTGTAGTAATAATTGTAAGATGTTTAGTTTTGTAGTTGTATTGTTGTCTTACTGCCACACATTGTACCATGTACGATTGTTGAGCAATAAAGTTTATTTATTTATTCATTCAGCGTAATAAATCAAATAGCATGAATTCGAAAGTAATCAGAACCTTTTTTAAAAGACATTTTGCCACAAACGTAGTCTGAATTTCATGCGTTTTTGTCCACCCGAATACAGGGCATGTTGGAAGACCGAATCCGTACAGAGTTTTACCGGGACGCCATCTACAGCAACAAGCACCTGTTCAAGGATAAGATCGTCATGGACTTTGGATGTGGGTCTGGCATCCTGTCCATGTTTGCTGCAAAAGCAGGGGCCAAGAAAGTTTTTGGCGTAAGAACGATTTTATAGATATATAACGTTATGCAAAAATGTATTGACAATTGTGCATAATATTTAACAGTTTTGGTTTATGATAATTCTCTAGTTGCAAAATCATGGCCGAAGGCTAATTGCTTTTACAGTCAAAGATACTACTATTCGGTACAATACAATAATAGGAGACAGACAACTACTGTCTAGAAAAACTCTTACTACTACTACTACTATGCTTGCTACCATGAGGTTTGGCTTCTTCTTTGAAGGCAGTGGATAATAGTACCACTTTCTGCATAATGAGTGGATTTTGTGATCTAAGTAGAAACTTAGTCTGTTGGTGATCTTCTACATGATGGAAGGATGGGGAAATTGTGGTAACTGTCGGTCTCATAGTGAGGACACTGGCTAACAAAATGTGCAACTGGCAACCAATGGTCTGCTTGGAGATTAGTAGCAGGGTTCTTCAAAGTCTTAATATTTTGTTTGGCGCAAACTATTTCTAGCGCAATGTGTTACCTGCTTTCGCAATAGGAAGATTTAATCCCTTGTGCAAATGGCGTATCGGACGGGGACCCTTTCATGCTTGGCTGACAGACGTTTGCCCTCATCATGCCGCAAGGTACAGCCATTCAGGGCGGCAACTCTTTTTAATTTGCAGGTGTTTGACTGATAATTTGATAAACGTCTAATGTCAGTTATAATCATTCAGGGCGGCATCTCTTTTTGATTTTCGGGTGTTTGACTGATAATTCGTAAGGGTAGAAAGTCAGTGGTCACGCAACTGTGTACATAGTATAACAAGATTCTTCATTGATTCCACACCACCATAGGCACTTTCGTATGGTCTACTTCAACTACGAACGAACAAAATACGACAAAAAAGTTCCCTGTGTGGTCTATGTTCTTGTTAGGAGAGAAAAACTAATTAACCACCCTCCAGTACATTTTCATCATTGCATTCGATGAAGAGAAAAGGAAACAACATAAGTGATACTTTTTATGAGATACATGTACTAGGAAGCTATAGCTGCCTGCCACCAGTGTCAAGATGCATTATCTGTATAGTCGGTATAATCGCCCTTCGGCGTAACACACCAACTTCGCAGGTACGCGGCGCGGCGGCAGCTGGCTACTTTACACCGATCGACTTGTTACACCTAACCCTTGAACATCTAACTCTAGACATTGTTTAAAGCTATCTGATGACAATGCCCCTACTGTACTAGGGGACAGCGAGTTCCACTCTGCGATAGTTCTAGGAAAGAATGAATTCTTGAACACCTCAATCCTTGGTTGATAACTCTGGTACTTGAAGGCATGGCTATTTCTTGTTCTCTTCTGGGCTGGTATTAGGTACTTAGTAGTTGGGACGTCCACCAGTTTATTAGTCATTTTGTACATCATCCATTATGTTGATCCACCGAAACAATATGCATGAAAGCTCATCTCTGTCGGTACATTCCATGATGAAGTTAATACTTAAAGTACTTTTGTTCAACAGAATCAGAACCGTTCCTCGCCTCAAATGTTCTTTTTCTTCACTAACACAGATTGAAGCAAGCAACCTCGCGAAAACAACCAGGAAAAACGTGAAGAAGAACGGACTTGACCACAGTAAGTGCACCATTGTCAAACATAGCCTAACTAGTCTGGGTGCCCATCCTCCCATCATCTCTAACAGGCTCATATTTTGGTCCCAAGAGTTGAAGGAGGTTCTGTCTCCCCCTTGTTACAGTTTTTCCATCTATCAATGCAGTGGTTTGATTAAAAGTTTGAAATTTTATTGTTTGAATTACAAATTAGCCTGGTATGTTGACTCCATCGCTCCTATCATGTCAGTTGGGACTATCATGTAGGAAGCCTTGGTCTGTTTTCATTTTTATATTTTTTCGCCCTGTCGCTTTATATTTTTCTGAAAAAAATTCAAGAACCAACGAATCAAATTGGTGTGGCCTTATGATTGAAATTTTATTTTTTTCCAGTCATTACTATCGTGGAAGGGAAGGTTGAGGAGATCGAGCTGCCCGGTGTGGAGAAGGTGGACGTCCTGCTGAGCGAGGTGATGGGTGTGGGGCTGATCCACGAGGGCACGCTGCAGTCTCTCGTCATCGCCAGGGACAGGTTCCTGGTCAGTCACTTCTTCTTGTTTTTTTTGGCGACGCCTCATGGGCGAGCCTAATGGTACAGTATTGTGTGCAGTCTGCGAGAATTATAGGAATTGTACAGGATTGTGTTTCCACAGGCATGGAATGTCCACAGGAATGTCTCACAGCTCTGGCATTTTGCTGCCCACAGTCCATGGAAACCCTTGGGACATTGTGGCTGCCGGGATTTCATAAGGGTACAAGATCGGTGGCATGTCAGGACTCGAACCAGGGACCTCCTGGTTCCGAGTCGAGCACTCTGCCGCTACGCCACACGACACCAAAAGTCACTTCTACAGCACATTATACGATCTGTGGTGGCGAGGTGGGCTTGTGGTTAAGGGATGTTGACTCAGAATCTCAAGGTTCTGGTTTCGAATCCCTGGCAGGCATCACAGTCGAGTCCTTGGCAAAGGCCTATTTCCTCACTTGACTGAGATGAAAACTCTCCGATAGACCGTAGAGTGGAGGTCCCGTGTTTAAGGAGAGTCCTCCATTTTAAAGATCCCACTATATCTATAGAATAGAGTTTCTGATGTGAGTGGTTCAAACCACAGTCTGGTCTTTGGTCTCTGGTTATAACCTGTAATGACTCTCAACTGCTTACGTTTGAAAATCCATCAGGCATGCATATTCTTCAGAGCTTCTGACTGGAGTACTGTTTCTCTCCGCTAGGAGACGCAGTACTCCAGTCAGAGGTTCTGAGGAGGATGTCTGATGGACATCCAAACATTAGTAGGTTAGAGTCATTACCGAGCACCAACCAACTACCAGCCAACCATGGCCGAACCTCCAGGCAACAGCATAATGTTTCTAACATTAGGATGGCGCAGCCGAACACCAGCCGACCTTGCTCCCGACCTGCGCATGGCCTACATGTACTCCTAACTATGGTTGGGGGGAGTTCGGTTAGTGTTCAGGAGGACATATTCGGCTATGTACATGTGTGACAGGGGCTAGTAAAATGAAAAGTTACATAACTGAAAGGAAACGAGGGGCGGGTACATTGGTGGAAAATTGACCACAAGGAGAGTGACTGACGACATGTTTTTATGTGTTCCAACAGAAACCTGGTGGTATCATGTTTCCTGACAAAAACACGCTGTACGTATGTGCCATCGAAGACAAGGAGATGCACGACAATCATGTCAAATGTAAGTCATTTAAAGCTTAAATATCGGAAGCAACTTGAAGGCATCCAATGCAATTTCAGGGCGACAAAATGAAACAAGTTCTGGATGAGGAAATCTGTCTGACATTTACTGCTATTTCTTAGCACATTGTGCGCGTCGTCATTTTATACTTGAAGCATTTAAAACAGCCCAAAAACAAGCTACGTGAGGCATCTCTTTATTTTTTGGTACCACCCACAAATAGCTCGAACCAGCCTATGATATAAAACAAGCTACTTTTTTCCGAAGGCAACATCACAATTTTACCTCACAGATATCAGTACGCTATGGGATAGCGTTGGTTTAACTTACTACATCAAAAGAGTGGCTAGAAAATTGACTTTGAAAATCCAGTTTTGCTGCCATGAAATTGCACTGGATGCCTTTAAGATAGGATTAATGGGTGTTAGGCTTGTGCATTGGTGCATTTTGAAGTCGACAATTCTTATTTTCCTTGAATTTGACTTACTTTACCCCATGTTCTTGTCTAGAAATGCACAAAAATATTGTTTTATTATGTAATCTGAATTATCGCTGGTTAAAACTTGAATATATACTAAAAATTGCGTCTTTGAGAGTTGGTTACAAAGTCGCAGATATGTTTGATTTAAAAACGAAGACGAATATTTACATCATTTTGCAATTTTATAACAGGAGGGATTTAGACTCCTGTCACCATATATATGTGTGTTTGAGTAAGAATCAATAGAGCAGACCATATGCGAAGGTAAACATTATGTATTTGCTTTGCAAATGTTACCTTTCTAGTAATTCTTTATATTAATAAGACCTTATAAAGAAAGTTTGAGTGAATGAATGAATGATTTGGTTCTGGTTCTTGCAGATTGGAACGATGTGAACGGGTTTGAGATGAAGTCGATGGCAGACGTCTCCAAGTCGTACGCCTGGCACCATCCCATTGGGCCTGAGCAGCCCCGTCACGGACTACTACACACTCAGGGTGAGTCTGTCTGTGCTGACCCGGTAAATATATGTATCTTTGCCGATAGATACAAATACAAAAGACAAACACTTAGTATTATACCTCCATATTGGTATTGACCACTTTTCGTCAGCTACAGATCTTGCTACTTGCTACTGGATCAAAATCTATCCAATTGCACATCCTATAGGCCAGGGTACAGGACGGGGGGGGGGGGTGTTGGTCCGTGAATAGTTTCATCAGGTTGGTAAGTCACTGAGTAAAGAGACTCTATTTAATCAACTAAGTCTTTTATTCACAGTCGACGTTCCGTCTGTCGCCTTCCTCAGGGCAATTCTGACTGGTTCACATAGTACTGCAGCACAGGTGTCCCTGCTATAGATGCATTCCCAAACGTACAATACTTACCTATCTAACGTTACACATATACGTGGTTACAATATGTAAGAACAAACAAAACTTTTCAATCATTAAATAAATTGTTTTGACCCAGTGAGAACATCACATATAATAAGAACTAAATACATCACTGCATCAAAGTAGAAGACAAAACAATAATTAAAACTAGAAAGGCCGACATTTGCTTGGGAGCAAATACAGCATATTTCAGTCCATCTCCCTCCCACGCAAAAGTGGACTATTCCAAAACTTACCCCAGTGCAAAACTGGCAAAGGTTCTCAAATAAATGAATTAAATAGTAGCTACATGTATATGAGAACAAAGATGCAACAACAAGTACTTTGAATCTCGAAAGCTTTACTAATCTTATTACAGGTATGCAAAAACTAACAATCAAGAGATTTGATACATTTTGAAGGTCTTAGGCACATAAAATTGAATGTGTGGGTCATTACGCACCACTTAGGTGCAATGTGACCTCAGGTAACCCGCAATGGAACACGTGTTCCATGGATGGAACCGGCCATTCTTTAGATAGAACATGGAACGGGTACAGCACTTTTGGCCCTTTTTTTGCTGAAAATAGCCATTAAAGTCCCCCAAATGAGTCATTTGGAAGTGGTGTATGCCAAATATGTGACTGCTATTCTGTAGACACATGTTCAAGGTACCCTTATACCGAATTTCAAATCATTTGGTTGTAAAACCAGGGCTCAGGATCCAAAAATCCATTTTTTGTCGAAAAATGCCCCAAAAAACCTTCATAAAAATTTTTCAAAGGCATGTATCAAAAAAATGAAAAAAACGCCTGGGGGTATTGGCCCACTCTACCTCCATGCCAAATTTCAAGTCATTTGGCTGAATGATGGTGGAGTTGAATCCCTTTGACTGTTTGGCAGGAGGAGAAGAAGAAACATGAGAGAACACAATATATTCTATCATA